TCGGCGCTGGCACAGGCTGCGCGGCCGCCCTGCAAACGGCTCGGGCCGACCGGGAACGCCGCACGCTCCGCAGCCCACCCGGCCCCGGGAGGCCGAGCGGGGCTCTCCGGAGGCGGCTGGCAGCGAGCGGGTCACTTGGTGCGTGTGAGCGACAGTAGAATCGAGTGCATGGGAAGATGCTCGCAGGATGCTTGCATGCCTTTTTCTGGTTATTATTTTTATTTATTTATTTGTTCTGGTGCTGCTTAGCCTGTATCCTGTGCTTGGTTGGCTAGCCCAGTAATTAAAATGATTGTGGGGAGAACTCCGGAGGCGGCTGGCAGCGAGCGGGTCACTTGGTGCGTGTGAGCGACAGTAGAATCGAGTGCATGGGAAGATGCTCGCAGGATGCTTGCATGCCTTTTTCTGGTTATTATTTTTATTTATTTATTTGTTCTGGTGCTGCTTAGCCTGTATCCTGTGCTTGGTTGGCTAGCCCAGTAATTAAAATGATTGTGGGGAGAATCCGTGTGCGCCAACATCTGTGTTCTCTGCTGTCATCTTGGAAGGGAGCTGCAGTGACTCTGCTGCCTCATTTTGCCACGGTCTCTGGTTTTGAAAACACCATTTTGCTTTTCTGAACATACTTGCTGTGTCCTATATATGCAGCCTCCTACCACAGGCACAAATGAAAAGGCTCGGGCATCCGGGCCGTTCTCATTTTTCCTAGAAACCAAAGGAATTAGATACCCTTTGGAAAGCAGTGTGTTTTGGCTTTTGGGTTTAAACACGTGAGCAGTTCCATAGGTTGAAGCTAGAGCAAAACGTGTGAGATTATTTCAAGAACAGTGTTTAGACACTCTTTAAACCAGTAAACAGAATGGACTTTTGACCCAACTTTTGTATTTTAGCTTCCATTGCTTCACTTGTTTGAATTCCCTTGGCTTGTGATTTCAATGGGGCACCCAGATATAACACTGCACAGCAGCTCAGCTGCATTCCCGTGACCTCAGGGGGTAGTTGCATTTAACACAAGGGGTACGAGATGTTAAAGATCAGAAGTTACACTTGATGGAAGGATTTTCTTCAGAGTATGTTATCATAAAACAAGTGCTAGTTAACCTTTGAGTGGGCAGCAGGCATCCCACTGTTTCTCACTTAAATTGCTTAAAAGCCTTCCTCGTAACCATCTGGGTTGTCTTCATTTGTCAGATAGTGTTTTCTGCAATAATCGTACCGAGACTTAAAGCCTTCTGTTGTTCTCCTCCTGCGTAGCTGCTTCCCCTGGCTTGATGATATTAAGGACTTCTTGCACAGCAGTAGATGGCCTTTTAAGTCTTAACATTAGCTCGGAAGAAAACATGTTATCAAATGCAAAAGTGAATGTCTGGGTTACTGAAAGTGTCTGCCTTCAAGAGAAAGATTTGAATAGCAGCTTTGCTGATTTAGCCTCGGCTGGGGAGAGCAAATAGGTTCCACTAATGCACTGGGTTTTCTCGGTCGTGCGCTCGCTGCTGGTTATGTAACCAGGCTGCCGCGTTCCTGGGAGTTGTGACTCGGGAGTTTGTAGCCACACGGATGAGTTCTGGCGCAGTGAAACAGGGAATCTAACCCAGGAGCCGAAGCAGGGAAGCTACGTGTTCCCCTGTTTTTTTAAGTTGTTCTAAAGGCCTTTGAATTCTAGCTTTTTTCCATTAGCTTTATTACGGGTTTGTGTCTTCTGCTCTGTTTGCAGCCTTTGCTGACATAGTCTCCCTTTTCTTTTAGGAACCTTTTATGTTTAGGAGCAGAGGTTATTATGTTAAGACATGAAAATAAGCAAGTCTTTAATTTTGCGTATTACGTTGTTTCTAGTTCTGTTGAGTTGGCACAAATCTTGTGCATCTGTGTATCCTTTTCTTCCCCATTAATGACTGATGCCATCGTTCTCACACCTGTAAGCTGTTGTGCTGCATGATGCATCCGAGTTCTCCCACGGCTGAGCAGAGGTCAGTAGGAGATGTTAATAGGGACTCCAAGGGGATGGGAAAGGACAGACTGTCCTGGCTGTGGTAAGCAAGGATTACCTTGACTAAACTGCAAATACCTTTAAGTTTCTATGATTTCAAATTACACAGTAGCTCAAATGTTGTCATGAATAAGCAAGTAGCAGGACTCGGTGTCTGCCCTGGTCTGGTTTGTTATGAGGAAGGAAGCAACGTATCCTTCCTGATTCTTCAGTGATTCTGTAGAAAAGATGTCCCAACCCATGACCAAGGGAAGATGTTGCTTTCTTCACCGTGTTGTTTCTTGTGCAACCTTTTATCTAAGACCTACTTTATTTATTGTCCTTGTGTTTTGATGATAGACTTTGAACATGTGCCTCATTTGGACTTCCCATTTTAAGGAAACCTGGAATGGTAGCTTAGATTAGAACTTTTTTACGTTGTTTATGGAAGTGCCACGTGCTCTTGCAGGTGAGCAGCCTTGCTGATCTAATAGGCTTTGTACCCGCACCTCTTAAGGATTATTTTAATGCGTGAGCCTCTATTCCACTGAAGCAGCAGACAGGCTATTGTCCCCTGAAGCTTGCGTGGCTCATAGATAAGCACATGCTGCCCCTCTTTGAAGTCTAGGGCTCTGTTGTGTCTTCTGGGACCCCGGGTGATGGGGCATATCTCTTAGCACAGATCTAACGACCAGTTCCAGCCTCCTGTCCCATGGAGTCCCTTCCTTGAGAGCAGGAGGGCCGCCCGCTGTGCGCCTGCCTGTCCCGAGGCAGCTGTGTCCATTGTGCACCAGCCTCCAGGGCCTTCCTGCTTTTGTCCAGGGCCATGGGAAACCCTCCGGGCAATGTTGTGCCAAAGGCTGAGATCCATGCAGCCACAACCTTCTTCACCTCAATCCGTCTCTAAAACACTGTCTCTGAGTATCATTTACTTGCTGTCTTCTCCCGGTGCCTGTCTTTTGGGATTAGGTTAGAGCACTGTGTTTGAAGGAGATCCTCCTGTCTGGACTAGGTTAATTAAAAATGTGTCTGCTTTTCCTTTAAAAGCTTCCCTTTAGTCATGGCAAACTGTGGGCACCAGTGCAACCAGTTGTTCTTCTGGGGTAAAGGAGATGAGCTCTAATGAAGAGGACTGAGATGTTGATCCCTCTTCTCTACCTGGATAGAAATTTTGATGCTCTAAGTCCCTTCAGAGCTGCCTTCGCGTCCTGGTTCCAGGTGCTGCTCAAAGGGGTTAACACCTTCAGTAGGGATGACTCTGTGTATCAGACCAGTTCTTTCCCTCACCCTCTCATGAATCATTGGGTTTGAAGATATCTTGATATGAACAGTTTTGTTCTAGCTGTATTCTCATCTGAGTCATACTGCAGTGCTCTGCAAAGCCTTTTCATTGTGTAGTGAGTCACAAACTGGAGTGAAGGGAATGTAAAAATGGAGCAAAGCCTGTGTTACTTCTGGCAGCACGAGGCTAATACCAATTCTGGTTTCTCTGCCTTTTTCTGCTGAACAAATAAATATTGGTTATTGTACTAGTAGTGTGCATTTTCTTTCCAATTCAGTTAAACAGAACAGTAAGGTGGCACTGAAAACATGCCATTGCCACTGATTGAATCCGGTTAGTAGTGTAAAGATGTCTATTTGTGAATTATTTGGTTGCATAGCACCGAGACAGCTTTAGTTTTGAGGGCAGAGTGGGTTAAGAGGCTTGAGGAAGTGTGCAATTATCCCCTAGGGAGAATCAGAAAAGTGGAGTGAGTAGCTCTGTAATCATCAAGAGGTTTTGGGATATCTGTCTGGGATGGGATGTCTCTAGCCCTGCCAAAAAAGGGAACTACAGCACTTCGTAGCTCTCAGCACACCTAGACATTTAGAAGTGTATTTTAACAATGAAGAACAAGAGAGGTCGTTAAAGTTAAGCTACCAAATATCTTGTCTTGATTTTCTATTTCTTTCTTAATTGGTGCAAAACCTACCTGAATCCATGTAAACACATTAATTCTGTGTGAATTCGGCCAGAATAAAGCAAAATCCTCCAGCCCACCTCCAAGACCCATCTTTGCATCACCTCATGCTTTTGTCTGTGGGAGCTGGGATTGATAATGCGCAGATGTAGATGCAATGTGCCTTGAAGAAGGCTTGCTGATTGATTCATACCAATAAAGATACAGAGCCACACTAAATAAAGCCCTGATAAGAAGGGGCTACACTGCAGTGTTTGGTTTTGGGATGGTCTCTAGTCTTGTTGTCCAGGAGTTGCCTTTCATACATCTGCCAGGGTTTTCATGCTGTAATACTGTGTTCCTTCTGATGTGCGTGTGTGATGGGGGACCCGGTGGCAAAGGGCTTGCTGGGTGCCCTGTAAGCCCAGTGGTGCTTTCTTCCTTTGACTTGCAGCCTCTAATCAAAGGCATGTGTGTTTGAAACCATAGGCAAAGGCTCCAGCAAGGAATTGATTCTGTCAGGTACTTGCTGGCTTTGCGAGGCTGTTTCCC